CTGAACCGCTGTACAAGGCCTTTCGAAACATGCCTCCAAAGTATTTGGAGAAGTTTCTAGAACTACTTTTATTTTCAAAGGTGTTGAAAAGATATGAAAATGAAGACTTTTGTGTCGTGTCGACCAGGGTAGAAATCTGGTGCTTGGGTTGAATTGTTCTTATGAGTGTCGACTCCCCTTAAATACGTTTGTTACTTATCTTTTTTCGTTAGTCTTGCCTGAAAATTCTGCAATATAAGACTGATTAGATGTTTTTTTTTTTGCGTGTACTATTTAAATTTTTTTAATATAAAAAACTCAAATAGTGATAAGCAATGCTTCAAGTTAAGTTAATTAATTAATGATTTGAAATAATTTCACATAAAGCTGAAAATTAAAAAAAATATAAAAAATTCAAGATTTAATAGTCTAATATCAAAGAATAAAATTAAATTAAGTTAAAACAAAGTTAAAAAAACCTAATTTTTGAAACCATCAAATTTGATCATGATACCAAAATGATTATATAAAAGACCAAAAAACTCCTAAGTAAAATTCTTAATGATCAAAAAATGTAAAACAAAAAAAATAATAATTAAAACAATAAGGATAAAATATAGTATAAAACTAATGAAAGAGAATAATGAGGGACTTAATAAAAAAAATAAAATAAAAAAAGATCAAAGATAAAAAAAAGGGAGCAATTAAAAAAATAAAAACCAAAATTGAATATAAAACAAATGAAATAAAATGTCGAGTTACAAAATTGAAAGAAAAAATAAATTAAAAAAGGATAAAAAAGAGAAATTAAAAAATAAAAATTAAATATGAAAAAAATAAAATAAAATATTGAGGGATAAAATTGAAAGAAAGAAAAACCAAGAAAATAATTTAAAAAAAAGAATATCATATTTGATATAAAAACAAAACAAAATCAAATAGAAATGGATAAAACTTAAAAAACAAAAAAAAAAGATCAATCAAAGGAAGAACATCATAATTAATATTTTTTCTCTAATTTTTCTTTTATTAAGATAATACATTTTTTTTACTTTTTAGCTAAATACAAAAACTAAGTGATTAGCTAGAGAAAAATCATGTCAACACCCTTTGATTTTATTTTTTAATAAAAAAATAGCATTTTTACTTCATGCAAAATTAAAAAATGGCATTTTCTAGGCTGTGTTTTAAAAGCATAATAAAAAAACACCAAATATGATATGTAAATTCAATACAATTAAACTATAAGGGATGAAATTGAAAAAAAAATAAGAAGAGAATTCAAAATAAAAGGAATTGCAATCATAAAAATGAGAATCAAATTCAATGAAAAAAAAAGCATTAAAATCAAATGACTAGAGATTAAATTAAAAAAATAAAATTCAATAAAAAAAAGACTAAAAGAAAAATAAATAGGAATCAAAAGAATAAGAATCAAATTTGATAAAAAAAGCATAAAAAATCAAATGTTAAGGAATGACATTGAAAAGTAAATAAATCAAATTTGATATAATTAAGAGATTGAAAACTATTTTGCAATTTTGCATAGCCAGCACACCTTTTGAAATTGAGGGGAGAGAAAAAAGGGGAAGGAAAAAACTTATTATTGAAGCTTTGTCATGACATGGATGATGACAAACACCAACCCATCGTGAAGAGGTGCTACCAATAACAATACCCTAAAATGCTACCAATAACAATCAAGAGGTGCTAAACGCATCGGCACAGGTGCCACTACGTGTTGACCATGCTCCAACCTCTTTTCTTACAAAAAGAGCAGAGCACTATTGATTTCATGTGACAATTGCATACAACATCGAGATTAAAAAATAAAAAATGCCCCTCGACCCTAGGCAAAATAAAGTTGACCTCAAGGGTTATTTGGTAATTAAATTCTATAAAATAAAAATTCAAAAAATTCCCTCAAACAATGAAACTTTTATTAAAGGTTCAAGGAAAAAAATAAAAAAAATCATAAGAATAAGCATCAAATCTAAAATATCAAAACATAATAAAAAATTGAATATGCAGAATTCTTTAATGTGTTTTTTCACACTAAAAAAACTCTTAGATGTAAATCAAAAACATTTAAGCACGCATCTAATTAAACAAATCAATAATTCTTGTGTAAATTCATCAACAACAAATAAAAACATTTAAAAAATAAGCAATAAATGAAGATCAAGATATTTAACATCGCAGCACGGGTAATATATGTGGTTGTGTTTAATGAATTCCTCTACCAAAATAATTTTTTAATAGAAAACACATACAATTTATAATAAAAATAAATACACATATAAAATTAATTGAATAATAATAAATAAAACAATGTAAGGTTGCATATGTGAAATATTTTTTAAAAAAATCAATATATTTTTAACAAAAAAATTATTCTATATTAAATTAAAAAAATCACAGATGAATCATACCAAACTCTAAAAATTAAACACATTCAATATCATTTAAAAATAATTGCAATCTAATTAAAGCATAACCTAAAATTTATATGAAAAAATAAATAAATAATGCATTATTTTTTAACAAAATAAAAAATTTAAAAAAAAAATTAGGATAGACGCTACTTGGCCTATTAATCTAGGCCTACTGCTTAGCCCAATAG